TACTCGAACGCGTCGGTGAAGGACCAGGACTTGTTCAACCTGTCGGCGCCGGACAACGGGGGTCTGTTTATCATTTTGTCCATGTTTGTGTCGCTGGGGTACGTGACGGCTGCGTGCGCGTCGGACGCGATGGTGGTGCAGTACGCGCAGCGCGAGCCGCTGGCGATCCGCGGCCGCGTCCAGACGGCGATCTACACGGTGCGCACGCTGACGGGCATCATCTCGAGCGTGATCATTGGTTTCGGGTTGAACGGTATCAACTACAACGGGTCGTTCGAGTTCGCGATGGCGCCGAACGTGCCGTACGGCATCTGCTTGATTCCGTGCGTGATCGTGGTGCTGTCGACGATCTTCATCATGGAGGAAGTCAAGACGCCGGCGGTTCCGTTCCGCGAGTGGGCCGGCAACTTTTGGGACTTGTTGCAGAAGCGCGTGATGTGGCAGATCTGCGCGTTCCGCTTCATCAACAACGTGTTCCAAGGCATCGGGTCGACGGCCGGGTCGCCCATGTACAGCATCTGGGCGAACGTGGAGCCGTTGAACGACGCGTTGTCGAGCGTGCTCGGCGGGTTCATCTTTTCGGGCATCTTGGTGGTCGTGGCCAAGTGGGGTCTGCACTGGAACTGGCGCTGGGCCATCGCGCTCAGCTCGATCGGTGTGATCGTGATCGACGGGACGATCACGTTTTTCACGATCTGGGATGTTGTGCGCAACCAGTGGTTCTACAACGGCGTGGGTCTGGCGGACAACGTGCCTGGCGGCGTGCGCTTCATCGTGGCGACTTACTGCGCCGTCGAGATCGCCGACATCGGGAACGAAGGCGCGACCTACGGCTTGATCACGACCGTGTCCAACTTGGCGTCTCCGTTCGCGTCCGTGCTGTACAAGTACATCGACTCGTACTTTATGCTGTCGCAGGACGACATCATGGACGACACGACCGAAGTGCGTTGGGACGTGACGTACTCGTTCTTCATCTCGTACGGGTGCAAGCTGTTTGCGTTGGCGTGGCTGTGGATGTTGCCTCCCCAGCGCCAGCAGATGCAAGAGCTCAAGAAGAAGGGCGGCAAGAGTGCGTTGGCAGGAGCGATTTTGTTGCTCGTGTTCTTCTCGTGCTTGACCTTCTCCGTCACGACCAGCATCATGTCGATCTACCCGTCGACCAAGTGCTACCGCATTGCGGGCGGCAACGGCAAGATGGACCCCAAGACGGGCAAGTGCCCTGCCGTCAAGGCCAAGAAGGGTTAAGCTTCAGTAGAAGCGATGTTAGAAGTGTGTCCGTAGCGTGTCGTCAGTACATTTCGTCTATTTCAGTTGTCTCGCGTGTATGTGACTTTTGTAGCGTGTCGTCCGCTCCAGTGGATGCGGACGACGTCACTGGAAGATGAATGCAAAGTCAAGGACAACGCCGTTTGTCCGGCGGCTTGAGCTCTGAGCGTAACTTTGGAAGGCAGCGACCAACTAGTCGTGCACGTGAACACGATAGTTAGTTGTGGCGATCGTGGTCAGGTGGGTCGACTTGGATCTGGAGCTGTTTCAGACGCAAATGGCTCGGCATCGAGGTCTGTACTGAAGATATCTGCGCTTGCTCACTGTGGGATGAGTCAACTAACAGGGGAGGCGTGGAATGGATTCAGGAAAAGCCGTCGTATTTTCTGTGTATTGAAAGCCATACACGGACAGGTGAAGACCATCGCAGCACGTCAACGTGACTAGACGACTCGTCGCGACCGAATCGTGTCGGTGCGGGACGCAGCACCGCCGCTCTTGGACGCCGCCATCTCTTCCATGCTGCCTTGCCGACTAATGACCGTCCCTCGGAGATTCATTTCCTGCGGCATCGTCATCGGCTCGGCGTTCGCATACAAGTTTCCTATACGTGGTAAAGAGTCACTCACGAGGCCAAGGCCATGCATGCGGGACTACCTCGGAACTGCAGTTGCAGCCGTTTGCCACGTCCGCGAATGTATACAATCAAGGCTGCGCCAGCGGTCGCCAGGACTGAAATGATGACGACAGCGACAAGGGGAGGTCCCATCGATCCTGTGGATGCCGACCCGCTGACCGATCCTCGATTTGACGTGCATCGTGGCCCGCCCCATACCTACAACACGCATGGAATCGTGGAGCGTTTGGAAGATGGATACGCACCGCCGGGGCCGAGCACACGCACCGCTTCGTGTCACTGCACGAGCCCGTCACGATGGAACCAGCGAGGGTGCAGTCGGCGTTGTCCGTGCAAAATGCGTTCCCATCGACGTCGATGTTCGGGTTGTCCACGTCTTCGTAGTCGGACTTATGGCCGTCGATCCAGAGGCGCGTGGGGTGGCTGGCTGGGTCGCATCCGACCGACATAGTCGAAGTGTTTTGCCACACGCGGATGTAGTCGATCTTGAGGTAGAGCGGGAACGCGTCGCACACGCGATTCACTTTGTCATCGCGACCGTCACCGCGGCATGGTTTGCCGGGGTTCGGGGGCTGCGTCCCCCAACTCGTCGACAGCGCCGTGTTGAAGATCAAGTAGAGCGGTTCTTCAATCATTAGCTTCTTCGGGTTCGACATGGCAGCATTCTGCGGCGGGTTCTCGAGGCTTTCGGCCGGGATCTCAAACAACGGGACTCCATCAATCATCCAACGGACATATCCCTGGCGCCCCATCACCCACTCAAGCTGGTACTTGAGGTACCCCGAATACGCTGCAAACTCGACGGGCCAGTTGGCCGAAATTGCATCCATTTGGTACGAAAAGGGCGAAATGTTGTTGCCGTTGCTGTTCCCGTCCGAGTGCAGTGGTGCAGTGCACTTGGCGTTCGTCGTGTACGGGTCACACAAGTATGCTCCGTTGTAGCCGTTCATGACAGGAAAACATTGGCCTTTTGTGTTGATGCCCCAGTACAGTCCCGTTCCAGCCTTGCCGTCAACCGGCCCGCGATCGCCATTCACGTCGAACGACGCTGGACATGTCGACAGCGAGCACGCATTCGCGGTAATTCCGCTTGTCAAACTTGCGTTGATGGCGACAGCGCTTTGGACATCCTTGGCACTGGTGGCACAGACATGGGCGGCGTACCGAAGGCCTTGGTACCAAGACCGGTGGCCTCGAGTGACCGTCATACTCGAGGGAACGTCGGGGGTGTTGGCGCCTACACCGTCCACCGCAGCGTAAGTAGCACCCGCCATGGACGGAAGAGTTGCCTTTTACTTCAGCACATACCGATGGTTTTGCATTCGTTGCTGTAGATACAATAAGCGTTGTTGTCGTCGGCTGGAAACACGGGTCGGTACTCGTCTGGCATGCCGGGCGCAATTTGCACCGACGACGAAATGGCTGCGCCGCCGCCTTCGAGGATGTCGATCTCTGGCGCCCCCCGTCCTTGGTTTGGGTTCAACCCAAAGCCGGGATTACTGTCGCAGGCTGAAATCCGCTGGTCTTTTTCCAAGTTCTTATCGCACACGTCGTACGACCACGGCCACATGCGAGTCGTCGATGACAAGAACAGTGCGCGCCCAAGGTTGCCAAGGAGCCAGACGCCGGGCCATGTCGGGTAGTAGATGCCTATCACCTCCATCAACATGATGACAAGGTCATGGAGAATGTGTGAGGGCAGGCGCACGCACCTCCCGTGACGCGAGCTTGTGGGTTACTGGCGTCCGGATTGTTCGCTCCTGTAACTCCCGGCTGCTGGCACATCACTTCGATGAGCCCGCCTTGCATGCAAAACTTGTTCCACGACTGCAACATGCCACTGCGATAGTACTACAGGCACCGTGGCATGATATGGACGGCGCATCGGAAATGGGCGTACCATGCGGCTCTGCTGGAATCCAGGCGGGGTCTTGTACGGGTTGTACACGCGAAACGAAATGTCGTCGTGCTTGGTAACAATCCGAAACACGCCTCGGCCGTCGGGTTCCATGACCGTCTCTGTCATGTTCACCGAGTAGTATTCCAGGGCGGCGTTCACGCCATCGGCCATCTCAATGGCTGTCCACATGGGATCCACGCCTGCCGTGAAGTTGCGCCCAGGTCGGTTGAATTCGTCGCTCATGACGAGATTCCATGTTTCTCCACGAGACGACGTCGCCTTGTAATACTGTTTGGGTGTATCGATGTCGACCCACGCAGGGATCCCGCTCTTGGCATCGTAATGTGGACCTTTCGCGGCACTCGTCACTCCCCCATGGCCGAGAACGATCACTAGCACCGCCGACCGCTTCATCCTGCCAGCTGTAAAATCAATGTGCGAAACGATGGACGACAATTTATCCGAACAATTTCACCTTCAACCAAATTTTCAATTTTTTACACGATATGTTTTAAAAATGCAACAAATTTTTTCCCTGAATCGCGTATCAAGGCACACGTTGGACACCACCTAATCGAGACATGACCGAAACGACTTACTGACAACCCGCGCTTTGTGAGACCTCCAACGGATCATCATCGTCAGCTCTTTGCAGGAAAGTGCATGCAGGGGAACTTCAGAGAGCTGAACTGGGAACACGTGCCCTGGTTGCACAAACGGCTACTGCGAGTCAGGTCATGATAGAGGTGGCAATGGCCATCCATGGCGGCGCGATGCAGATCTATCTATATATACGGTAGCAAACACGGCATTCTCACTGAAGGTTGGGAACGTCAAATATCATGGAAGGACATTTGATGTTGCTCAGCCATGACGCGCCCCTCGCGAGCGGCAGCGGTGGACGCGGCGACGGCATGAGTCCTCTGGACAGCACTACTCCAACACGTGGAACATGCGACCCATTCCATGATCAGCGTGCCATGCAATGTGGCAATGTGAGAGCATCGGTCCCAGTACGGCCGGCGTGATCCTAGTGTTGCATGAGGAGCAATCCGCTAAAGGTAGAAGTGGACGCACTGCAGTAGAACATGGTCTTTGTACAACGGAATCGTGTCTCGCCATTCGTCGTGCTCGTACAGATGTGGTTGAGTGGAATTCCATCGCAGCGACTTGATGACCTGAAAGTGCGTGTTGTGCACGTGGAATGGATGGCTGTGGCCTGCGATAGAGCCCACGCACCACACGATCGACTGGTTTCGTCGAAGGTAAGTTACATTGACGTTGCCGGGTGGCACCATGTCCATCGAAACATGGTTTACACCCATTGCCATGGACCCGTCGATGGGATTCTTGTCGGTTGTAAACTCGTACAGAACGTCGCATTGGGGAGGAGTTTCCTCGGCAACGCCTTTCATTGCTGGTGGAAGCGACATGTACCATGGCAATGTGACGTGCGGTGGAGCCGCTTCAAGCGAATGTACGTGTGCTTGGCCTCGTGGTCGGCCCACCGGTGAATCCGCCAACACTGTCTGAATGATCAATGCAAGTTGACTTGGCACACGGTGGTGGACTGTTCCGAGCCATTCGTTTCGCGTGGCTCTTCTGTCCACGACGACTGCAAATTGGGAGCCAGCCACTGGACATTGCATCTACCACGTTACAGGACACCCATCAGGTTGCTGAGGCCGATGGGACTTCTTAATGGCTAGGTTCGTACCGCTACGTCCGCCCGGCCCCCAGGTGGAATAACTAAAAGGTCGACCTGTCGCCACTTGTCCTTTGTCACGCCATCGCGGGCGAGGAGATGCGACGTGCAGGGTAGCTTAAGCTCGACGATTGAATTCGCCAGTGCGTTCACGAATCGCAAACGCGTCCAAGTAGATGGACGAAGCATTAGCGTCGGTACAGACTCGCCGTTCACTAGAAGCTGCATGCCTTGCGTCGTCGTCGCATTGCCCGAGACGACGACATGCGGGTCAAAATGTGAGGGAGACTGGCCATGGATCGCTCTTTCCAACATATTGTAGTCCGAGGCGCAGCCGTCAGTGCAAACTCCTTGTAGAAGAAGCACGTGATCTTGGCAGTTTTGCAGCGACGGCGGCAGGTCCGTTACCCGGTCAAGGATGATGAATGCGCCTGCCATCAACCCCGAGATCTGTCGTGCCAGTTCATCAAACCATGCTTGCACGTAAAGTGGTATACCTGTGAATTCAACTGGCCGTGGCGATGGGGATGGTACCAGTACGTGCCGGACGGATGATCGAGTGGAATGTGGTAGGTCAGCATGTTTGCCTGCGACGGCAGCACTGGCGTCAAGTCATTAGCGACGTGCTACACCATGACCCATCAGTGAAACACAAGCACTTCATACTCAAACACACCAGGCCATGGAGGTGCAAGCTCGTTTCGTTGGCAGTTCCAGGAAGCAACAAGTTGTGCAGCATGATGTGGAATGTGTCGCCTGCAACGGCGTAGATCGTCGGTCCAGGAACGCGACCATTGTACGCTCGTGTTGTAAAGGCCAAGGACGTATCGTTTTGCATGGTAAGATCGACGCGAAGCTCGGCAACGTTCAGGACAAACACGGTCGCCGTCTGGACAATGTCGTGGATGTCGCGGCGGATGGCCGACGGACGATGCTCAACTCGAGCCCGCGCGTTGTGTGTGTACAGTCGTTGAGGAGAGGCGGTGCTACAGCCGACGAAGACAACGGCCCACGCCACGAGCATGCCTGTGAGCACACGACTGGCACGCAGCATCGCTGGTCAAGTTGTTGACGCGGCAGTCTGTCGGTTTCACAGAAATCGCAGCCAAAGGGAATGAAGCCTTAAGTGCGAGAGGGTCGCACTTTGAATGGTGAAGATGCGTTTTACCGAAAAAATTGCCGTGTTGAACAGGTAGGTAGCCGCGATGGACGATACGGGCAGTAGCGGAGGCGACTTGGACGCGTTGTTACAGCAACACAAGGTGCAGATCGACGGTCTCCGTCAGCGTCTTGGCGATGTCCTGGTGGACGAGTGCGACGACGTGTGGTTGCTGCGCTTTGTCCTGAGCAATGGAAGTGTTGACGCCGCGGAGGAGCCAGCGCGGTTCACGATTCAGTGGCGCAAGGATCGACAGGCTGTCTTGGCCAAGCTCAAGGCAGGCGAAGATCACCCGCTGCACAATAAAGTGACCAAGTTCCAAGTAACGCACCACCTCCAACTGCGTTTTCACAAGGTCGGTTGTCCTGGGCTAGGTGGCATCGTCGCACAAAACTACGTTAGTCGGCGAGCCCGTGTTTTACGTCCGCATTGGCCTGTGCAACCCCCGAGCCCTCATGGACGCCATCGCGTTCGACGACGTTGTCGAGTACTATATGATGTCGCGGGAACAACTTCTCATCCAGTGCGACCACGAGTCGCGCAAGAAGCGCACCTTGATCAAGATTTTGTCCGTGCTCGACTTCACTGGGTTCTCGATCGCTCGAGGCCACGACTCTCGCTTTTCCCAAATGCTCGGGGTAACCAGCAAACTGTCCGAAAAGATGTTTCCGCAGTTGCTTGGTCGCACCATCTTTATCAATGTCCCGCAAGTGTTTCAGTGGGTATTCCGCCTCATCAAACCTCTTATGAGCCACCGGACTGTCGCCAAGATGGTCATATGCCCTGGCGCCTCGTCCGGCCAGTCACTCGCAGCATGTCCGTTCACCCAACACCATCTTGGCGTCGACGTATGTTTAACAGTGTGATTCTTCGTAGCCGTGTGCTGACTTGTGCGTCTTCCTAGAACATCCCGACGTTTCTGGGTGGCACGTGCCGCTGCAATGGAGGGTGCTGTATTGGAGGCGTCCCCAACTCGCAAACGACTCCTATCAATTCGGTGGATGCTGACGGGCTGGCCAGCATCTCGCTCAGTGCTCGGACAACGCAGTCGCTGGACTACCCCGTCGGTGCCGACATGCATGTGTCGTACAACATTATCGCGGAAGGCAAAGCCATCGATGTCCGCGCCTTCATCAGTGCGAACGGGTTGACCGGTGACACGAAAGATGCAGTAGCATTGTGGGAATGCCCCATGCTACAAGCGGCCGACGGAGTACAAGCAGGCACGTGGGTCATGCCCCACGACGGCATCTTGACCCTGCGGATCGACAACCGCCACGCCCTATTTCGCGGTCGAAGCATCAAAGTAAAACTCGACTTTGTCGGCCGAGACGAATCGAATGTGGCACAAGATGATCCGTTGGAAATGAAACGAGGTGGGGAAGGCGTCGACAGAGTGGGGGTGTTGGCCCACCCAGACTCCAAGGACAGCTGACCCGACTGCTGGAGTGGGCCGACCC